TCATATTCACCAACTCACCCCTTTAACTTCTCCAAGACCCACTCTCTCAACCGCCCCCCTCAACATCCTCTTCTCCTTTTCCTTTTTTAAGATTTGTATTTTCTGAGTTTATTTGTTACCAAGAACAACAAAGAGTTTTAAAAAATTATGACTGGGATCTTGGCACAGACCTTTAATTCCAGTACTCAGAGGGCAGAGGCAGACAGATCTCTATGAGTTTAAGGCCAGTCTGGTCTACATAGCAAGTTTCAGTCCTTCCACGGCAACATAAGTGTGATTCTGTCTCAAAAAGTTATTAAATTTTAAAGTGTGTGTGCCACAGAACATGTGTAGGAGCCAGAGGGAAACTCACAGAAGTCACTTCTCTCCTCTCACCAACTCAGGCCCTCAAGCTTGAGACCAGTGCCTTCTCCCTGGGCTGTCTTACTAGCTACCCCTAGTCATGATTTTATTGAGATGGGGACTCTCATTTGGCTGAGGGATCACCGATTGGCTTCGAGTGGCCACAGAACCCCTGCTCTGCCTCCTCAGTGCTAGGATTACAGGGGCATGCCACCTGCCTCCACGCCTTGGTTTTTCGTTTTTAAAGTGTGGCTCCTAGGGATCAAACTCGGGTCCTCAGGTTTATCTAGCGAGCACTTTACCCACTGAGCCATCTCTCTAGCCTTATTTTTTTTTTTTCTGAGACAGTGATTCACTTTGTATAGGCTGGCCTTTATCTTGGGACCCTCCTGCCTCAGGTTCCTGTCATATTTTACTGGGAAATGCCCCAGCCTGGGCTGAATTCCATATTAATTCCCTTACAGAAAATCTGTGCTCTAGTCTTATAATAGTCTTCCTCCTTGGGGAATGACCCCTGGAAGGGTGGATGTGACCTGACCTTGGACATAATTGCTTCCTCACTTGGCCGATAAAATGACACCCCTAATTTATGTACCGCTGGTTTTAGCTCAGGGCTTTGGTGCATACTAGACAAGCACTCTACAGCTAACTGAATTACACCCTGTGCTCGCTGTCCAAATCTATTTATTTATTCATTGCTGTTGTGGGATGGTGGTGGTGGATGCGCATAGTTCAGAACACAATTTAGGGAGCAGGTTCTCTTCTTTCACTTTGGGGTCTGGGTATTGACCTCAAGAAGTCAGTCTTGCATGGCAAACATGTTTATCTACTGAACTATCTTGCCATCTTTCTGGCCTCTTGGTCTAAATCTTTTTTTTTTTTTTAAAGTGTCTCACTGTGTATTCTTGCTATGGAATACTGGACTGGAACTTGCTATGTAGACCAGGATGGCTTGAACTTACAGAGATATGCTTACCTCTGCTTCCCAAGTACTAAAGTGTGTGGGCCACTAAAGGCGTGGGCCACCATGCCAGTGTCTTAATCTTAATCTCAGTGTCTGTGCTGAATTTCTCTGTAAAATATGGGTCATTGTGTTTGCCATGTCCAGATTCTGGGGGCTATGGGGGATCTGGATAATGGATGAAGAGGCTTTCTGCTACCCATACTGGGATGCCCAGAGGTCACTGGGTCAGACTTGGAGCAAGGACAGAGCTCTGGGGTCAGACACTAGAGACCTGCAGATAGAGGTTGTTCAGTTTTTGAATGAGGATACAAACACATCCCCATAGACTCATGTGTTTGAATACATGGCCTGCAGTTGGTAAAGTATTTGGGAAGGATTATGAGGTGTGGCCTTGGTGGAGGAGGTATGTCGTGGGGGCAGGCTTCAAAGTTTCAAAAGATTCAGCCATTCTTAGTGTGCTCTGGGCCTGCTGTAGGCTCTCAGCTGTTCTTGCTACCAGCTTTTGCTCAGCCAACATGGACTCTAACCCTCCTGTTTCAGTCAGTGTTCTATTTTGGTCTCTTTCAGAAAGAGAGCAGGTCAGTCGTCCTCATCAACTTAGACCATGAAACCCAATATGGGCTAGTTCAACAGAACCGCCATATATGGGCTACCCATGCATGCTGCAGCATTACCAGGACATAATTTTCATTTTTCAGTTTTTTCTATTGTTATGAAGAGACACCATGGCCACAGGAAATATTTAGTTGGGCTCTCTTACAGGTTCAGAGATTTAGTCCATTATCACTATGACAGGAGCATGGTGGTACATAGACAGTAGCTGATAGATCTACATTTGAATCCACAGGCAGCACGAAGAAAGAGAGAGAGAGAGAGAGAGAGAGAGAGAGAGAGAGAGAACGCCACTGGGCTTTTGAAACCTCAAAGCCCACCCCAGTGATACATTTCCTCTAACAAGGCTGCATCTACTTCAACAAGGCCACAACTACTAATCCTTCTTGAGTATGCCACTCCCTGATGACTAAACATTCAAATGGCCTGAGGGGCCATTCTTATTTAAACCACCATATCTCCCAAATCATAAATCTCAGGAATGTAGAGCCAAGCAGATCTCTAGGTGTTTAAAACCAGCCTGGTCTACAAAGAGAATTCAGGCCAGTCAGGGATCCTATTTAAAACAACAACAAACTTTTCTAAAAAAGGACTAGGGATGTAGCTCAGTGGTAGAATGCTTGCCTAGCATTTCTAAAGTAAAGCTGTGGGTTCAATTCCTATTACCACCAAACAACAACACAGCAACATAAACACACACAGAAAACAAAAGTCAGTCCTAACACAAATGTTTCCTTCGTAGAGAGATTTTTGTGGTTTGGAGCCAGGCTTCAGAATATAGTGTCAGGAAACACACACAAACCCCACCCCAAAAACAAAACAATATAAAACAAACAAACAAACAATGAATAACAACAAAAACTAAAACATCAGACTCTAGACTGTGCAATAATGTGGTGATCCCAGCAGGCTCCCATATATTCTCTAAACCTCAGTATCCATGTGGTAACACTGCATTCCTTGGCTAGGCTTGGTGGCTACCATATATACTAGTATTTGAAAGGTACCCTCAAGCTGCAGAGAGTTCATTATTATGACACATATTCTAGTCATTGAGTCAGAGCCAGGCACAGTGATTGACAGCATACCTGCTAGTATAGCTGCCTGATCATGACCATGTTGCTTAACTTCTCTGCGTTAACTTTTCAGTTGTTCTGTCTATCAAATGGGGACTCTGTGAATACTTTCAAGACAAACAGCAAACAAATGAATACCTGAAAAACCATTAGGGCCCAGGAAGGCTGCCACTGTCAGCCTAGTTTGGGGTTTGTGTAAATGGAAACATTCTCTGTCTCTCTGCCCCCCATCCCATAGCTGTTTTTAAATAATCACTCAAAGGCTTAATATTAATTATAGTATTTGGCGTATAGCTCAGGCTTATTACTAACTAGCTCTTACATTCAAGTTAACCATTTTTATTAATCTATGTATTGTCACATGGCTGTGGCATTACTGGTCCACTGGCATCTTGTTTCTTGGGTAGCTGGCTTACATTTCTCTTGACTCTGCCTTCTTTTTCCCTGTCTTTCCATTTGGTTTTCCTGCCTTGCTTTGTTCTGTCTGGCCATAGGCAATTTAGTTTTTATTATCAAACAATGACAGCAACATGTATTCACAGCATATGGAAGGATCATCCCACAGCATTTCCACTTTTATGTCTAATCAAAAAGAAAAGTTTCACATCATTTTGAGTGCGGTAACCCAGACCCAGAAAGACAATTATTACATGTACTCACTCATAAGTGGTTTTCAAACATAAATCAAAGAAAACCAGCATACAAATCACAATCCCAGAGAACCTAGACAACAATGAAGGCCCTAAGAGAGACATACATCGATCTAATCTACATGGGAAGTAGAAAAAGACAAGATCTCCTGAGTAAATTGGGAGCATGGGGACCTTGGGAGAAGGTTGAAGGGGAGGGGAGAGGCAGGGAGGGGAGCAGAGAAAAATGTAGAGCTCAATAAAAATCAATAAAAATGATTTTTACCAAAGAAGGAAAGTTTTAACTTAAACATAGTAAAATTACAGTGTTTAAAATACATACATACACACATACATATATACATATATATATTTATATAGATAGGAGAAAAAAGAGTCATACAGTCATAGATTAAAAATATATTTTAAAAATAATAAAGTGAAACTTTCAAAAAGAAAATAAATCAATACAAAGAAAATAAGCCACATAAAGATGGAAAACACAGAGAGTATGGATACCATGTGTCATGCTTAACTGCTGAGAAAGGAACAAAAGTTACTAAGAGATATTTGATTATAAATGCTGCTGCATTAAACCAACCTATATATTTAAAAAATGTCTCGACTTCAAACAAGTCAGAAATATGCTACTTTGGAAAAGAGGATATGCTTTTGTTTCCACAGGAAATGAGAGGCTCTGGATTCATTCTGGGTTAAGTGATTGAGGAAGAGCCCCCTAAAAATCCTGACTATAGACACAGGAAAATAAACCTAAAGTAACTATAGGACATTGACATATATTTTACCTGCTCAAAGAAAAAACAACAACAACAAAAACTACCTTTGACTGGCTTTGTACAATGTACAGTTTATATTTGTATTAATACAGATGTGTTTGTTACCTTTAAAAGTTTATATGTTTTTAAAGTAAAGGGACCAGACACCAATGAAAATGATGGCCCAGGTGATCCAACATCCAGAACAGCTTCCTGGCTGCTGACTGAGATGGGTCAACCTCACAGAATACTCCAGTCAAGACTTAACAATTATCCTGATTTTCTCAGGGTCCTTCAAAGATGACCAGTGCCCACCAATCAACAGGAAGTACTCTAGACAACTACGCCCAAATTCCCAAAATATTGTCATGAATGTTTGCTTTCATTTAAGGGTGTTGGTTACAAATTGTTATTGATCATAGTCAATCTCTTTCTAAAAGAAGAAAGGATGCTATGATATAGAAATGACAGGATAAAAGGGTAGATTATTGAATCTACTTTTAACCACAAAAACAACTACTAGTCTTAAATATTTTATATTGTTATGGATTTTTGTATATTGATACAATTTCAAGGTTATTTTTGTTATATTGAATATATGTTTCTACTCTTGTTTAAGATATTTGTCTACTGATGTAAATTTAAAGTTATTTTTATTAAAACCTACTGTACCTACGTTTCTACTCTTGTTTTAGGTATTCTACCTATATAGCTTGTTTCTAGTCCTTGAAAGTTATTATTACAAACCATTTAGGGTGATATAGAAATTCTGGTTAGTAGTTAGTCACCTATTACAATCAAACTTGTAATCATGTTAGGTATGTTTTCAGGATCAAACTGAGATATATTTCAGATACACATGTGGTCTTTAAGCACTTCAGAGGTCTACAGAATATGACATATAAGATGTTTTAATAACATAAGTTTCTTTTTTATGACAGTGAGACAGGTCTGCTTCTGGCAGCACCAACTTGGGTCCTCCAGCTTCCCCAAGTGTGTGCGTGTGTGTGTGTGTGTGTGTGTGTGTGTGTGTGTGGCTTTTGTAAGAGGAGATAGCATCTACTTATTTGAGAACACCACAGGCAGATTTAACCCCCAAGGACTTTATTGTTTTCTCCATTTTCAAAGAAAAGTATCTTTAGAACCCTAGATCTGCCTCTGGGTTAGACCCTTGATCTGCTAGTCAAGATGTGGCAGGTAAGGCTTTCCATTTTGATTCTCTGAGGGATGAACCCCACACCCACCCTAGACACTTATTCCCATGTCCCACCAACACCCTTGGCGAATCATAGTGTAGTCTGGACATTTTCGCAGGAGGAAGACGAGGAGTGGTGAACACCAGGGGCCCTTCCTGCTGACTTTGGCTGTGGGGTGGAGGGACGAATGCTGAGATTTCTAGCTGAGTCCAGGAGAGGTTGAGGTGTTGGGGGGTCCCCCAGGCTTGCAAAGACAGGGTTCATCTGAGGCCAGAGTGTCATGTTTCCCTTTTCCTGAGGTTTGAGGCTCAACTTGGTTAGGCATTGCCTCCGAGATCAGTTCTAGCCAGTTGTAAAACATCCACTTTCAGATGCCACAGGACGCCCAGGTGCTCTGAAGGCTCTTCCTGCTAGAGGAGCTGCAGCTGGACTGTGAGCCGCAAGGCTTGGTTTGCTGGTCCTGGCTGGCCCTGAGCTCCTGCTACACTCACCACCTCCAGCTGGTATTTCCCCGGTCTTGGTCTCCCACGGCCAACCTGCAGGGAGCTGAAGCCGTCCAGGTGACTCATTCGGAAGAAACCTTGGTTGTTGCCTCTGGCAATAACATAACGGATCTGGCCTACCAGACTCTCAAGAGCTGGTCGAAATTCTAAGATGTGCTTGTCTTGGCCCAGGTGTGAGAGGCTCAGGCTCAAGGTCAAGGGGACGTCTGCGTCAAGGGTAGCCAGGTCAACCTAGGGGGAGGGACCAAGTGAACTGTCAGAGACTGTGTAAACCAGGATGCAAGTAGGTAGAGGACTAAGCTTGGTTCCTGGTTTCTTCATCTAGCAATCTACGAACAAGGCCAAGATCAGCTAAGACTGAGGACCTAACAGCAAAGGCCAAATCTGGTTCTTTGATGGAAAAAAAAACCAAAAACAAACAAACAAACAAAAAACCAAAAAAACAGGAGGAGAAAGATTCAGGAGATGGCTCAGGTGGTAAAGTGCTTGCTGTCAAGCGTGAAGATCTGAGTTTAGATCTCCAGCACCCATGTAGAAAGCTGGGTGTGGTGGTGCATGCCCACAGTCACACTGCTTAGGGAGGGGAGAGGAGGATCCCAGGGGCTTGTGGGCCAGTGGTATAATCAAACGGTGAGCTCCAGGTTTAGTGAGAGAGAATCTGTCCCTCCCAAAATTAGTGGAGCTGGGGCCACGAGATGGCTCATCAGGTAAATGAGCTTGCTGTCAAACCTGAGGACCTAAGTTTGAGTCCCTAGACCCATATGGAAAAGGAGAGAGAATTAGTTCCTACCAGTTGTTCACTGACTTCTACATACCTGTCTTGTGCATGAATGGATACACACACAATCACTACCACTTCTAAGTAAATACATTTAAAATTAAAAAAAAAAAAAGGTGGGGAGAAATTCTAAGACAGTGATGACCTCTTGTCTCCAGATGTGGTATTCTTGAGCACATGTACTCATGTGTGTCTCCCCCCACCCCATATATGAGATACACACACACACACACACACACACACACACACACCAAAACCAAAACAAATAAGAAAAGCAACAGTTAGGGGAATCAAAGGTTTGCCTTGAAAACGCAGCAAACAGGTCAGGCAGGCAACATGCAGTTCCAGCGCCCTAAGGGGGTTCCGAGGCAGCCTATGGGACTGGTGTTATAACTAAGGGCTTTTTTTTTTTCTGGCAAGAAAATCCTACATCTCTAAAAAGATGCCAGAATCTACGGAGATACAAACAGAATGTCCAGCTAGGACAGAAAGAGAGCAAGGAGAGGCCTCAGAAGAGCCTTCCGCTGGCTTCCATTGTACTTCCTGTATCTGGCTCTCTCTGAGAGGACCTTGTGTACAGATGACAAGCCCTTCTTTATTTGAGCTCTTCAGAAGTGCCTTCATGGTCCTGGCAGCAAGACAGAACCCTCAATAAGCCAATGAACCTGAATGGCAGGCCACCCCAGGCTGGGTGATGTATCTGATTCCACAAAGGGTTATCTGTGTTTACTTTTTCCCCCTGTGGGTTGTGCCGTGTTTGTTTCACCTCATTTACATGCCTGTGGAGTGGTCTGCCATTACTTTTGAGAGAAAGCTATTTCAGCCTTTCTGCCTCTGGTTCTGGGAAATCTTTCTGAGTATGCTCCTCAGAACAACAAATGCTTTTATTGACACCTCCTGGCAATCCGTGGTATTGCAAGCAAAGACAACGCAAACCTCCCTCTCTCTGTCCATCCCAGGATCCTCACCATTCTACTCTCCTTGAAAACCAAGGGCAGGCAGTGCAGCAATAAATAGCAGTAAATGTGGGATAGTTTCTACATGAAAAGTTTTTCTTAAACAAAGGAAATACCAACTGAAGAAAACAGAAGACAAAGTAACCCATAATCCATTCATATTAGTTAACTATATGGCGAAAGTCTCTCAGACCTAACATGCCCATTACACTCTGGCTTTATTTCTCTGTTACATGGCTCATTTTTCATATGTTATAAAGCATGCTATATTTTACTTAATGATTTCTTTTCCCTCATGAGGGCAGGGATTTTTTTCTCCCCATTTGGTTATTACAGATTGCTTAGGATCTGTCTAGAAGGAGCCTTAACTGTCACAACAATGAGGTAAAGTGACCAAAGGATATGCTCCCCAGAAAAGGCATGGGCTGAGAATGTATAGAGGTTCCAGTCAGGCACCATGATATGAGGGAGAAGCTGAGACACATAGTCTAATGGTTACCTGATCTTCTCTTCCCCATTTTGAGACAGAGTCTCATGTAGCCTAGGCTAGTCTCAACCACACTAAAGAGCTGAGGATGTCTATTTTTATGCAGTGCTGGAGTTTGAATCCAGGACCTCATTCATACTAGGCAAATAATTTATCAGCTAAGCTACATTCCTAGAGCTAGTGTTCTCTCTTGAGGGATCACAGTCTCCTTCAGACACCCGCAGACTCTTTAATTGACCCTCCCAGTGTGGCCCCCATGGCACCTGATGATCTCCATGGGTGCTGCGCCTTGGTCGGTCCTGGGGGGAAAGACCATTGATCTTGCATTCATAGCAGGTTTCAGGTGAGAGTAACTCTTCCTCATCTGGGGTGGCCTGAGATCCAGAGCTGAATCCAGGACTGGAGATGCAGTGTCTGAGCCAGAGAGATGGTATGGGGGAAACTTTCAGAAACAGGCTGGTAGCACCTCCCTCACCATCTCCCATCATACCTCATTCTGAGCTATTGGGCACAGAAAAATATGCATGTGTGTGTGTTGGCATGATTGTGTATGTGCCTGCATGCACACCTACAGGAGGGATGTGTGTCCCTTGGTTTACCTGGGCATTGGAATGAACACAAGAATGGGATGATGAGCACGCAATAGAATAGAATAATGTATCAGTGTATATCTAGAACCATGTATGTTTGGGAGCCTACATGTATATGTAGTGTGGAAGATAGTGTGTACATACATACACCTGTGCCCACTGAGTGTATCTATATGAATCTATATGCGTGTGCTAATAATGTGAGTATAGAAACCCTTGTGCACAAGCACAGTCAACTCTCTGTATCCACAGGTTCTGCATCCTCATATTCAACTGGTTATCAAAGGACAGAAGATGTTTACTGTGTTGTGATCTTTTGTGTGGTTAGGCCTGTCTTAGTTAACTCCTTACTGAACTTTCAGAGACCTTTTTTTTGTTAATATCCCCTTAATAAAACAGTGCAACAGTGGCATATACTGTTTTATATTGTATCATGTGATATAAATTATGTAGAGATGATTATTTATTTTCAAGATAGGGTCTCATGTTACCCAGGCTAACCTCAAATTTGCTGTATAGCAGAGGATGACCTTAAATTCCTGGTCCTCTTGCTTGTACCTTCCAAGTGCTGGGGTTACAGGAACGTACCACCATGACTGGTGTACACAATGCTGAGGACTTTGGACGTACTAGGCAAGTATTCTGCCCACCGCGTGACATCCCCAGCCTGTGATGATTTAGAGTATATGGAGGAGAGTGTGTAGGTCCTGTGCAAATGCCGTGTCATGTTATATAGGGGACTAGAACATCCTTATATTTGGGGATCCATGAGATAGAGGTGATGTTATTGCACAGCAAGTTTTTGGTGTCGATGAATCGTTCTGTCCTTGAGGAAGGGTCCATGAGGCACAGGAAATAAACAACTCATAAGTTTCAAGAGGGACCTAAAATTTACTGGATGCACAAGACCCCCCCCCCCCCCAACTCCCATCACTGTTATATAAGTATCAAGGAAAGCTGAGGAGACTCCATCTTGTTAAGATGCCTGCAAATCTTGCAGTGAGTTCCAAGATTTCAGATTCCCTGAGTCATTACCCATGTAAGTTGGGCCTGCTTTCTCAGTCTCCCTCCCTCCCTCCCTCCCTCCCTCCCTCCCTCCCTGCCTCCCTCTCTTCTTTCCTTCTTTCTTTCCTTCCTTTCTTTCAAGATTTATTTATTTATGTATTTTATGTACATGGGTGTTTTGTCTGCATGTATGTCTGAACACTAGAAGAGGGAATCAGATCCCCTGGGACTACAGTTATAGATGGTTGTGAGCCACCATGTGAATGCTGGAATTAAAATCAGGACCCCTGTAAGAGCAGCCAGAGAATTTAACTGCTGAACCATCCCTCCAGTCTATGGGCTTTCATTGGTGTATCTGCCTTTGGGTCATCTATGTTTCTGTAGATAATCTCTTACCCACACGTCTCCAAGTATCCCATTGGTGAGTAGTAAACTCAGGGCTCACCAAGTTGGAATTTAATGGTATCATTACTTTGATCTGTTGCTGGTTCCATATCTGAGGTAAGCAGACGTTTGTTCATGTCTCCCAGGAATTGTATCACATATGGGGGGTACAGGAAACAATCTTCCATGAATATGAAGGGGGGATTTTATTTCTGTGTGTGGGGGTTCATATGTGTTTCTTCATGTGTACTAACTTGGATCATGGATAGCCTATAAATATCTCTAGGTAGTGAGCAAATACAAGCCTGAACAAAAAAAATGGACTAATGACACAGACATGTACTCATGTATACTGGCATATGAATGGCTGGCTGTGCTTGTGCTTCCCTGTGTATGCATGTAGGCACCTACATGCACAGGCATATGGAGCTTTGTTAACGGATTCTGTGGGTATAAGAATCCAATGTTCATGATCAGGGCATGAAAAATGTGACCACTACACTCTTGCCCATCCCTCTTGAACCTCTTACCCTTGTCCAGCCCGGAAGTAGCCTTGGAGACAGCCACACAAGAAGCCACCAGGTGTGTTGGCACAACCATAGCTGCAGGGGTTGCCTTGCTCTGCACACTCATCCACATCCTGGCAGCCTCCAAGGTCCTGGTTGAAACTGAAACCAGAGGGGCAGACACAGTAGAAACTGCCAAGAGTATTGTAGCAAGAGGCATTGCCACAAGCTGTGGGTGACAGGGCACACTCATCTTCATCTGTAGGCAGAGAGAAAAGGAGGGACAGAATGGAAGAAACCTTGTATGCCTGGAACCTTCCACTTGAATACACACCACTCTATTCTGTAGCCATGGCAGACATTACTAATCAATCACAGTACTCTTTACTGTGTAAAGCCTCCAGTAGACTCATTAGGAGCTCTCAAACTATATTTGTCATGGATGGAGCTAGAAAACATCATTTTGAGTAAGGTAAACCAGACCAAGAAAGACAATTATCACATGTACTCACTCATAAGTGGTTTTTAAACATAAAGCAAAGAAAACCAGCCTACAAATCACAATCCCAGAGAACCTAGACAACAATGAGGACCCTAAGAGAGACATACATGAATCTAATCTACATGGGAAGTAGAAAAAGACAAGATCTCATGAGTAAATTGGGAGCGTGGGGACTATGGGAGAGGGTTGAAGGGGAGGGGAGAGGCAGGGAGGAGAGCAGAGAAAAATGTATAGTTCAATAAAATCAATAAAAAGACAAAACCCCAGAACTGTATTTGTCTTCCTCCACCCACCGTCTATTATACTCTTGGCTTCTACAGCACAAGCTTTCTCGTGTGGGGTCAGGTCATTCTGTGGTAGGGTCAAACACTGTAAGATACTGAGCAGTATCCTTAGGCTCTGCCTGTGATACTAGGAGCCCCTCATCCCCTACTTTCTGTATTCACAATAAACAATACTAATCAACTCCAGTACCTTTTACTGTGCAAGCCTCCAGTAAGCTTGCCAGAAGCCCTCAGACTGTTTTCCTCTATCCCTTCTCTATTATTCTCCCTCACAACTCCCATCCTCTGCTGCAAAGCTTGTGGGAGCTGTAAAAGTAAGAGCTGAGGAGATGTCACAGGTCTCAGGAGAGCAAGTGGACTCCACAAAGGTAGAGGGTAAAAGCTACATACACATATATGCCACTAACAAAAAGAGAGGTCATGGATTTGGGCGAAAACGAAAGGAGGGGTATATGGAAAGGGTTAGAGGGAGGAAAAGGTTGAAAGAAATAATATAATTCTATTATAATCTCAAAAAGAAAAGACAAAAAGACTATGGGAGAAATGTTGAAAGTGATAGAGATGAGGCTGTTGAAAGAAGAGCTTGGGGCAGCAAAAAAGGCAGAAAGTTGTGATACAGAAGGCACGCTCACTAATTCAAGAGCTTCTGAAATTTATGTGGCAAAGATGCAAAGATGACAGCATGTGTGTCTTGAGGTGCATTGCTGTACTCAGGGCAGACATGACTAATCGATCACATCATATTTCCCATTGCATCTACAGCAGGCATTGCCAAATCTTGCTGCTCTGCCTGTGGCAGACATTGCTAATCATTCACAGCATTCTTTCTGTTGCACACCTGGTAGACATTGCTAACCAACCCCAGTCTTTTGGTGCTGCACTTTTTCCAGGTAGTCAAGCCACCACTCTGTAACAAATGGATTTGAGCCCTATGCCATGTTTGGTCAGCGGACCAATGACATCCCAGTGGTCAACCTTTTAGGCTGGTCCATTTAATTTATAGATGGACTAGCTTGTCATAACAGCTGCAGGGGAAATGGTTCCTACTCGTCTGCGCTGGAAAGATCCTGGTGGGTGCTTGGCTTCCTCCCAGCCATTGCCACTCACCCACACACTGGGCCCACTGGGAATGCTGGGTGAAGCCTTGGGGACAGTCGCAACGGTAGCCCCCCAGCTCATTTAGGCAGCCAAACTGGCAGCGATGGGGTCTGTCACATTCATTTACATCTGGGACACAGAGAAAGAGATAAAGAAAGAGAGAAGATTGGTGGGTGGTTTTGGGGCTCATCCTCCAGACTGAGAACTCACTCCAACTCTACTTCACCTTCACAGCTGTGGCCAGAGCTGTCCAGCATGAAGCCTCTATTACACTCACAGTGGAAGCTGCCTGGGGTGTTCCGGCAGTGTCCATGGGCGCCACAGAGGCCAGGTTGGGCCAAGCACTCATCATTATCTATAGAGGACAGAGAATGGGCAGGGTTGCTTTGTGGTTAGAGGATAGACATGAAGGGCTGCCATGCTAGTGTTGACACTGCACAGTGTGGCTTCAGAGGAGTCCCCCCCCCCCCCACCCCGTGCTGGTTTCTTTTTCTGTGAAATGAGAAACGAATAGTTCCCAGCTCACAGAATCGCAGCCAGTGTTAGTGGTACTGAATGTAGAGTGTATTGCTTGAAATTCAAAGCTGTGCATCCTGGGGTTGCTGACTCCTCTAGTCTCCTCAGTTATCACAGAGAAAGTAGTTACTTGTTTGCATTGTAGCATGAGAATTCAGTGGATTTAACCATAATAGAGTTTAAGAAGCTCCAGCTCTGAGAGTCAGACATTACCTACACTGGGCTGAGGGTGTGGTTTAGTAGTAGCATGCTCTCCTGACATCCCCAACGCTGTTCTTAAAGAGTCAACAAACCCATATGCAGTCAGATGTGCTTGCACAGATCTATAATCTCAGTTACTTAGGATCCGGAGGCAGAAGGATCACAAATTAAAGGTCAGCTAGGTCAATTTAGAGAGACCCTGTCTCAAAACAAAAAGTAAAATGAAGGGCTGGGCAGCCAGCTCAGGCATTAAGTGTTTTCTGTGCATGCACGAGGACCTGAGTTCCGTGTTCAGAACCAGATGTGGGGTATGTCATCACCCACAGAGATGGTGGTCCCTGGAGGCTGGGAAGCCAGTTCATCCTAATTCCAGATCCGAATGACAGACACTCTCTCAAAAAATGAGGTAGGGGAGGAGCTGGAGAAATGGCTCAGTGGTTAAGAGTCATTCTGGCTGTTTTTACGGAGGACGCTGGTTCAATTTCCTAAGCCCACATGGTGGATAACAACAGTCTGTAACTCCAGTCCCAGGGATTCTCCACCTGTGGCCCCTGAAAGCACCACCTGTATGTGAAACACATACATATAGACAGGCAAAATAATCATACTAATGAAATAAAGATAAGTAAGACCTCAGACCAGGCAGTTGTGACACACGCCTTAAATCCCAGAACATGGGAGGCAGAAGAAGGCAGATCTTTGTGAGTTTGAGGCCAGCCTGGTCTACAGGGCAAGGGTTAGGACTACACAGAGAAACCCTGGATGTAGGGGGGAGGACCTTGGGCTTCCCACAGGGCAGGGTTCCCTGCCCTCTTTCAAGCAGGGAGGGTGAGGGAGGAGGGTGAGTGGGGGAGCAGGAGGGGATTGGGAGGAGGGGAGGAAGTGTAAATTTTTGAATGGAAAAATAAAAAAAAATAAAAAAAGGAAGAAGAAAAAAAGTAAAGTCTCAAACAAAACAAAACCAACCCCCCAAAAAGTGTGTGTGTGCTGAAAAGATGGCTCAGTGAGTAAAACACTGTTAGGGGAGAGAAGAAAAAGTTGGGCATGGGTGGTAGTAGTGCCCAGCCAGTCTAGCCTGTTTGGTGAACAGGTCAGCAAGACACCGTTTATCTAAAAAAAAAAAAAAAAAAAAAAAAAAGGGGGGGGGCACAGGTGAGATGGCTAAGTTGATAAAGGCGCTTGCTGCCAAGCCCAAGTGGCTGAGTTCCTGGAGCCCATGATGGAAGGTAAGGAACTGATGTCTGAAAGATGTCCTTTGACCTCCATACACACCATGGACACACAAACACACACCTGCGTGCAAAATAAAAGAAATGTTAAAAATAAATTGAGAATAGTTAAAAATAAATGTTAAAAAGAAAATGAGATAAAGAAGAGACACCTAAAGAAGAATCTTGCTCTGTCTCTTGTCTGTCTGTCTATCTGTCTGAACACCCCAACTCCTGGTCATGTGAGGCTGCAAGAAGGTGTCTAGCCCCAGTGCATTTATTATTTTTAAAAAATTGGTGTGTGTGTGTGTGTGTGTGTGTGTGTGTGTGTGTGTGTGTGCTTCATGTGTCTTGCTCAATCATTCCATTTTTTGGTGAGAGTTTCTCATTGAACTTGGAACCTATTGATTTGACTGGACTGACTGGCCAGCAAGGCCCTGAGATCCTACTTTCTCTACCTCCCAGAGATGTCTGGCTTTTAATGTGAGTGACGGGGATTTGAGCACAGGTCCTCATAACTTGAGCATCAGTTCCAGGCCCATTTGTTAATCAATCTTAGAGTCTATGAACATCAGGTGCTAGCAGGAGGGTTGGGGGCTGAGTACTCTCTTTGCTTGGGCTGGCAGTAGAGGGAGCTCTAGTTCCCTCAGGTCCAGAAGACAAGAAGAGGCCATAGCTCTGTGGCTTTGACTTCTGAACTACTTTCTCCAGAGTGGTTGTGTAAACTCCTGGAGTTTGTGGAATACCCCGGGAAATCTCAGTTAGAGAGACCCAGCAGGGATGGATCACTGGCAAGGGGAGAAGTCCTGGGCCTAGACCAGAGGGATTTCTGAGGGTAGGCGTCCCATCTCCCTTGGGTAATGAAAAAGGTTCTAGATGCCACCAAGATGCGAGTATCCAGGGACTGCATTCTAATTACCCCCATGTCTTCATGCCTGACACATGAGGCGTGTTTGACATTAATTTTGTATCACACACATGTGAAGGCTAGGGTTGTGAGGGTTGTGTTGGGGAGCGGGGTAGGAAGCAGATAACACAACTCACCGAAGCAAGCCTGGTGGTGCTGCGTGAAGCCAGGAGGACAGCGGCAGGTGAAGGCGCCTATGGTGTTGACACAGACGAACTGGCAGTTGTGTTGCCTGGAGGTGCACTCGTCCAGGTCTGCAGCACAGGGGATCCAAAGGGTTCAGAGGGCAGGGATCAAGGGGTGCTCAAGGGTGGAGCTTAGCCGAAGGACTTGAAGGCTAAGGAGACAGTACTCAGAGGAGCTTGGGGAGAGCCCTGAGAAGACAGGCTTGAGGGTGTGCAGAGACATGGGGTGGGCTTAGAGGGTGGTTTGAGAGGAAGTTTCAGAGGCTGGGCCTGAAGGTACAGGGTTCAAGGATCAGCTTGAGTAAGGTGCTCAAGGCTGGGGTCATAAAGAACCAGCTAAGAGGGTAGGGCTCAGAGGGGGTTGAGGAAGGTAACTCAATGGTGGGTTGAGTGTATGTATAGAGTGGGGAGTAGGCTTGAGGGGCTGCTCATGGGCTAGGTTAGAGAGGTGATGGCTCAAGGACAGGGGTTCAGGGGATAACTGTGAATGGGTCTTATGGGTCCAGGCTTAGGTGTGGGGCCTGGGATCACTCTTGCCACTCCAAGCAGGGTGCTGTTGCCACTGGAAGGATGGCAAGAGAGATACCCTGGCTGCAGTAGGATCAACTCTATACAACCGAGAGCGTCTTGAGACCGATAGGGGACGGGGAGGACTGGGGGAGGGAAGGACATCACCTTTGCAGGTCCTGAGATTTTCCTCCATCAGGTAGCCACGGGGGCAAGCGCACAGGAAGGAGCCCTCTGTGTTTTTGCAGAGGAAGGCACATGGCTTTGGGTCATGGCTGCACTCGTCCACATCTAGGTGGGATGGCAGGGCATGAGGGGATCACATAGACATCGCTAGGGGTTGATGGGGGCCTCACAGGTTGGGACCCCTGCTCATACTCTGTTTATTGGAAATTGTGGAACCACCTAAGTTATTTAATTTTTATTATTAAATGTTATTTTTTTTACTTGTTTATTATCATGAGACAAGGTCTCACTGGGTAGCCCAGGCTCACCTGAAACTCACAGACATTCACCTGCTTCTGCCTCCTTAGTGCTGGGATTAAAGGTACAAAACACCATGCCTGTCCCTAAAAATTTGAATGACATTTACTTACTGTATGTGTATATGAGAAGGGCACACATATTTGGTGCATGTAGAGGCCAGAGGACAACTTGCAGGGGTTGGCTCTCGCCTCTATTATTTGGGTCCCAGGTTTTGAACTCAGGTGGGCAGGTTTGGTAGCAAGCATCTTTACCCACTAAGGCATCTCAATGGCCCTATTTTCTATTTTTATGCAGTGTTGGGGATCAAAGCTGGGTCTTTATGTTTGCACACGACAGGAAAGAGCTCCACGCTCCACCTACCTCTATGGATTCAGCAATAGAAAATATTTTGTGGGGGGGAGTGTCTGTACTGAACATTCAGATTATTTTCCTTCAATTTTCCCAAACAGTACACGTCACAGCTCTTACACTGCATTAGACTAATACACCAAATGCTGAACTGACTCAGTGCCTTAACTCTATGTTACATTGTAATAAAGATGAGAAACCATATAAAATGATAATAAATATTTTAAAATGAAAAAATATTTTTGTGAATGTTTATGTGGATGTTTTACCTGTACATGTATATGTATGTACCTCCTGTGTGCCAGGTGCCTGGAAGGTCAGGAAAGAATGCTGGCTCTCCTTGAACTGGAGTTGCAGACAGTTGTGAGCTGACATATGGGTGCTGGGAAACAAGCAGCCGGTACCCTTAACCAGCTTAGCTATCCCTCCAGCCTCTATTTTATTTTAGAGACAGGGTTCCAATATGTAGCAGAGGCTAGCCTAGAACTTACAAAGCAGCCAAGGCTAGCCTTTAGCTCACCGTAAGCTCACTTCCTGCCTCAGCCTCCCATGAGCTAGAATTGCAAGTATGAACTCTGATGTCCCCCAAGATAGTTTAAACATTTTTAGGAATCAAATGTGGGAAAGAGGATTATGAAGAGGAGGTGGGGTTGTACAGAGGTGGGAAGGAGATAGGAAAGCTGGGGTGAGTATAAATTGGAATGTGATTAATAATTTATAAAATAATATGCAGATAATCATTACATAATACACATCTATGAACATTTTAGGGAACAAATTTAAATAATAATAATACTTAAAAAGGTGTTGTGGGTATCATTCAGAAGTAGAGCATCTTTCTAGAATATACCACTGAGGGGCTGAGGGCATGGCTTAGGGAAAGAGCTCCTGGGGGGCACTGAGTTCCATTCTTACTGTCACAAAAAGTAAAAATGAAACAAAATGAATATACAGGAGGATGTGTGTAGGTCATAGGCAAACACTACACCATTTAAATTTTGTTATTTTATTTAGTGTGTGTGTGTGAGAGAGCGCAGGAGCCTGGAGGCCAGAAGAAGGCTTTGGATTTCCTGTAATTAGTGTTATAGGTTGGGGAGCCACCCAGTGTGGGCGCTGGAAACTGAACTCAGGTCCTCCATAAACTCTTTTAACCATGGAGCCATTTGTTCATCCCCAAAGACACCATTTTATACTGGAGGCTTAAGGAGCTCCCAGTTTGGCATATGATAGGGGAATGAATATTGGAAAAATTCCCTTTGGCTCTGAGGGATGAATGAATGTTTACTTTTATGGGTGTGGTGGTTTGAGTGAGAATGTCCCCCACAGCCTCCTGTATTTGGACACTTGGTCCTCAGTTAGTGGTACTGTTTGGGAGACTTAGGAAGTAAAACTTTAATGGAGAAATTATGTTACTAGGGGTGAGCTTTGAGAATGTAAAGACTCCTGCAATTTCTGGTTTTCCCTCTCTGCTTTGTGCTGTGGTTCCTGATGTGACCTGCTAGCTTTCTGCACCTGCCACCACGCCTGCTGCTTGCTGCCATGCCTCCCAGTCATGACACATTCTCATTCCTCTAAAGTGTAAGCCCAAATAAACGCTCTCTTCCAAAAGTTGATGTGGTCCTGGTGTTTTATTACAGCAACAGAAAAGCAAACTAACATAGTGGGTTGCGTGGCTGTAATCACAATATTTCCATCAGAAATGTAGTCACTGGAGGTGAATAAACGCACAGGCACGGCTGTGTGCCAACGAAACTCTACTTACAACTTGGCCCTAAGATTGGAGTTTGCAAGCCACGATTTGGAGGAACACCTGGTACACAGTGTAACTGAAAAAATCTTAGGATGTATTAAATAACAGGAGGAAATAGGAGCGGGAAATGTGACCCAAACAGGATGGAAATGCCTAAGAATGTTTGCTTTTGGTCTGTTTTTTGAGTTCCTTAGAGTGTACAAGAAAACCAAGAGATACAAAGTGGATAGTCCCCATTGGAATAGGGGTTACAGACTTTTTGCAGAGGTATAACTAGACCAGAGGTACAGGGTGGGGGTGGGACTTGGCTCACCCATGCAGGCAGTGGCAGTGGCATCTGGTGTATATCCATCTTGGCAGTCACAGTGGAAGGAACCAATGCTATTGATACACTCGCCATGGTGGCACAGGTCAGCAAACATGTGGCATTCATCCACATCTAGGGACAAACAGGGCAGGGCAGAGGTTGGTTGGCTCTCTTGTTCTCTTAAAGAATACCTTCTTTTCTACCCATAAGCCCTCTCTCCAGAGTCAAGTACAGTCTTGCTTTCCTTTACTCTAACCACATGGATGCTACCCTAAGGCAATGGGTTAATCCTGAGCCAGCTGGACATGCTGACAGAGCTTCATTCCACTGAGTATTTATATACACATACATACATACACACACAAACACACACACATGTACATAATACATGCATGCATATAGATATATACACATATACACATACATATACACGTATAAATATACACATATAAACATACATACATGTATACACATATGTATACAAATACATACAGATATACACATACATACATACATATACACACATACACACAGATACATACACAATATACATATAATACAATACATACACACATACACATATACACACATGCACATATATATACATACATATACAAACATATACACAGATACACACACATACACATGCACACACTTATACAGATGTACACACGCACACACACACACATCCCTCAACCTCAGTCTGATCAGCAAACAGCAATACCTCCTCAGGGTCAAAGAGCAATACACATATTCAGAAAAACTAATAAACATCTTACTTCAGCCATGTACCTAGGCACTACTGCAGAATCTTGAGTCACAGGGACATGCACCTAATCCAGGGCTCCTTTGTACCCCAGGGACACTGAGAATAGGCACTTCTCTCTGGGGTCTAGCCTTTTTACTGTTTACTGTTTACTCGGGTTAACCATTTCATACTTAGTGATATACATGGACAGATTCACACCCATCCCCAGATAAGCATGCAGTCCATGTACTTACCCTTATAAACTTGGTAAAGTTCATTAACACCCGACAGGCTCACTCCCCCACCCCCACAGCTTTCTAGTTTGTGGGAAGGGCTCCTCTTCACAAAGTCCAGTGACCCCCATGCCCATGAGCAACACAATGCTCATTAATAAGCTTTCACACACAGAGGGTACAAATCAGCTCTCACACACAGACATTAACAAGTTTGTGAAGAGGACTTATACTTCCTGATAGGGTCTCCCAAGTACATTAACAGGTTTGTACACACCACAAACAAGTAACACAACACACCTCTTCCCATGCCTGCTCACTTGGCCATTGTAGTTCATGCATGCGCAGGGCAAACACTGTTCCTGTATCTGCTAGCACATCTGCTAACACACACACACACACACACACACACACACACACACACACACACACTCACACACGTAAATGCACACAAAGTATCTCACACCATTGTAGCACAGCCACATAGCTTCAACACGACCTCAAGAGAACTTACCTTGGCCCTCGGTGCTGTAGCCCTTGCCATGGGGGCAGAGCTTTCTGTAGGCAGAGGTGCCAGGCAAGGGACAGAGCTCACAATGGGGGCCCCAGCCCCGGCCGCCTCCGCAGCAGCACTCGACTCTGGGCACAGCCTCACCACTGCTTGACCAACTCTGGCACATGGCCTGTAGCACCTCAGAGAAACAGAGCCCCCGCCGGATATCTGCAGAGAATTGGTAGGAAGGGTGAGTGGAAAAACTGCTTTGCCCATTGAAGCAAGTGGGTGTTACCTGACCCATTTAAGGGTGTTTTACAGTGTTCAATGCCAACAGGAAGATGGTCCCCTATACACATATGCCTGATTGCTTCAATGGACTGGGACAAAAGCTACCCACCTCCCCAAATATTAACTCTGTGTTAGGTTTTGAAAGTTAGGTGGCCTCTATGGAGGGCAGTGTCTTTGTGAGAAAGGATAATTAAGGGGCAGCAGGGAAGCAGGGGGATGGAGTAGGAAGAGCTGATGCTTGGTTTGGGGTAGAACAACAGAGACAGAGAAGAAAAATATCAGGTCTGGTGAGATGGCTAACTTGAGTTTGATTCCTAGGATCCACAAAGTAGAAAGAAATAGCCAACCTCTACACACATGCCATGGGACACTTATATACAATGGTCCTCAAAACCTCAATACTGATAACAAATAAAGTATAATTAAATAGAATAAAAAATAAGATCAGAGATAGGTGGGAAGTGAGGGCTAAAAACAGACTGGAAGAGTCTCTACTGGTCACTCTGGAAAGCCAGTGCAGGGAATTCCAACCACTGAGATAGGATTTGGGGGCAAAGATGCTGAGTTGGCTTTGGGTAAGCTACAGTGTTAGGGGTTGGGAATGGGGTGTCTAGGAGATGAATATCATCTGGCCAGAAGCTAGGGGATGTACTTTATCCATGAAGAAGAGAGAAGAGGATGCGAACAGGAATGGACAGGCGCCTAACATAGAAGGTGCTATCAAGGTCTTCTGCTGGGTTCAGTTTTTAGGTTGTTGTGGGAAACCCAAGGAGAGGTCATTCTGGGCTGATGCCTCTAAGGTTACAGGAGTCATAGAGGTGGATGGGAAAGAATAGGAGGAAGGGGAGTACAACAAGGAATCAGCTCTTCTACAGAGTGTGTGCAGGCTCATGCATCTATATTGATAATGGTACAGCAATTCCCTACATGTCTCCTCGGTGTTCCTGACCTCATCCCTGTCCCAGACCCTCACAAGTCTCTGTTCACCTTGCTTGTTCCTGGTTCCACTCACCATGGCACTCAGTGAGGGTGAGGCTGGGATGGAAACCCTCATCGCAATGACACTGGAAGCTTCCCACGGTGTTGATGCAGCGACCATGGGCACAGAGGCTGGACTGGGCCTGACATTCATCTTCATCTGAGTTGGAAGGGATAAAGCAGGCCAGAAGGGAAGGCCAAAGCCCCCAAGCCAGTTGCCTTTGGCCTTGAAAGTTCCCCCTTACTTTGAATTCTCCCCTCCATGTAGCTTTCCCTGTGCCCTAGAAGCACCACGTACCTGTGCAATCCTCCCCAGAGGGCTGGAGCTGCATGCCAGGCGGGCAGATACAGACATAGGTGCCGATGAGGTTTTTGCACAGCATGCCTCGGGTGTGGCAATCCTGAGACCCATCTGCACACTCATCCACATCTTTGGATGACCAGGGATAGTGGGTAAGTCAAGGTCATGCCTTCCACAGCTTGGCTCCAGATGGGAAGAGCCTAGATCCCATACCCTAGCAGAAGTTCATGTGCTACAAACAACTCTAAAGCTTTATAGGGTTGGTATTTAGAGGTGGGGTCTTTGGGAGGTGATAGGATTAGATGAGGTCATAAGGATGGGTCTCCCATCATGGTTTCAGTGGTGTTATAAGAACAGACTTGATTTAGCACCTCGATATGTCTTGCTTTGTGATATCTTGTGCCATATCGGGATGCCACTTGGAGACCCTCACAAGAACCATGAGCCAAATATATTGTTATTCGTGTGTATGTTATATATACACATGTGCATAGGTGTGCATATCCTTGCACATGCACAGAGGGCAGAGGAGACCGTCACATATCCTGGTCTGTCACACTCTGCCTTCTTTACTTGAGATGGTCTTACTAGACCTAGAGCTAAGCAAGCCCCATGGATCTTTCTGTCTTTACAGTGCTGGGGTTAAAGGCATTCATGTGGCCACACCCAGATTTTGCTGTGGGTGCTTAGGTCTGAATTCAAGTCCTCACTAGTACAGCAAGTGCTCTTAGTCACTGAGCCATCATTCTTGTCCCATATTTCTGTTCTCTAGCAATTACCCAGTCTGTAGCAATCAGTTATAGCAAAAAAGCTACTACTTCTCCAAAAAAGCAAAAAACCACGCCTCCTTCAAAAACCAAGTGTCTACTTCATGCCCTTGTTCAGGGGTCTTCTGTGTGAGCTTCTTTGCTGCTCACTTCTACCCTCTGAGGCTCAGTTCCATTTAAATACAGGAAACCAAAGTGCTGAGACCACATCTGGATCTGTTCGAAGTCAGGACCATTTTTAGTGTGATGTTACCACACAGTGGAGATCATTAGATCAATGGTGGGGAGTCGGAGAGCCCTTCCCATGGCCAGTCTGTGCAGACCCTACCTTGGCACATGGCACCATCCTTCCTCAGTGTGTAGCCGGCTGGGCAGGTACATAGGTAGGAGCCCTCAGTGTTGTGGCAGCGGAAAGCACAGAGCAGTGGATTCAGGGAGCACTCATCAATGTCTGTGGAGGTCAGCGGAGATCTCATCTGGGCAGGCTCTCTCTGAGGTACCCCCGGTGCCTCCTATGATCAGTCCTGGAGAACCCCTGTTATACAGTTCTGATCCTGCTCAGGAAGCATCGTAGCATCACAGATCATCATGGGGCCAGGCTCAAAGCCTCAAAGTACATGTGCATTTGAAACTTCCAACGATATTTGGGCTAATACCTCCCCCACAGGGGTCTCCTTATGTAAGGAGTAAGGGGAGAATATGGAGGAATGAATTAATGATTAGTTGGATACCTAAATGATGCATGGGAAATGAGCAGCTGAATGAGCAAGAGATGAATAAATGAGCAAGAGGTGAATGAATAAGCAAGAGATGAATGAATGAGCAAGGAGAAGCTGAGGGAAGAATGAACCAGTGGAGCCTGGATGAGTGAGAGAACTGGATGAATGAATGACTATGAGGATAAAATGAAGAGATGAGTCAGTGGATGAGTGCGGACTGATTGAGTAAGTGAACAAATGATCAAGTAAATGAGTGATCAAATGAAGGAACAATTAAGCAAATGAGTGAATCAACGCTAATGCTGGTGAATGAACGCACGAACATGGGAAATGAATGAGTGAATGAAAGAACAAGTGAATTCTGAAAACAGTCTACCTGAGCTAATGGGAGCGCACCAGCTACAGACGGATTGGGAAGGAACAAGCATAGGACCAAACTAGTCCCTCTGAATGTGGCTGACAGTTGCATGGCTGGGCAGATCGCAGGACCACTGGCAGTGGTACCAGGATTTATCCCTGCTGCATGTACTGGCCTTTTGGGATCCTATTCTCTTTGGATGGATACCTTGCTCAGCCTGGATATGGTAGGGAGGGCCTGGGACCTTCCACAAAGCAATGTGCCTTGCCCTCTCTGAGGACTGGATGGGGGTGGAGTGGAAGGGTGTGTGGAGGGAGTGAGAGGAGAGGAGGGAGTGGGAACTTGGATTGGTATTTTTTTTTTTTAAAAAATCTAATAAATTAAAAAAGAGAGAAAGAATAGTGAATGAGTAACGAAAAGGAGGAGGCAGGCTTAACTTTTATGCTAACTTGACACAGCTGGGGAGAGTCTCAGCACGGGATTGTTTACATCAGGCTGGCCTGTGGGTGTCTGGTGGGGGGGGAAGACCCAGCCCACTGTGGACTGCTCCCTTTCCCAGACATAGTGTCCTGAACTGTGTGAGAGTGGAGATATAGAATTGAGCACATGCAATTAAGTGAGCATGCACCCATTCATTTCTCTCCGCTCTTGACTTTGGATACCATGGGACTAGTTGAAGTTCTTGCCGTGACTTCCCCACTACGATGGACTATAATTGTGAGCTGAAATACCCTCCCCCTTTCTTTTTGAGACAAGTTTTCTCTGTGTAGCCCTGACGGTCCTGGAACTCACTCTGTAGACCAGGTTGGCCTCAAACTCACAGGGATCCACCTGCCTCTGCCTCCCGAGTGCTGGGATTAAAGGTGTGTACCACCACAGCCCAGGCCCTTAAATTGCTTTTCATCAGGATATTTTATCACCTCTGCAGGAATTAAGGTAGGATAGGAGAGTGCGTGGATGAGGAAAGTGACAGTGGTTGGCGAAGGGCTCCTGAGCTACCCACCAACGCAGGTGATGCTGGTGAAGTCCAGGCTGTAGCCAAAGGGACACTTGCAATGGAAGGAGCCATCAGTGTTGACACAGCGACCATCAGTGCAGGTGCCAGGATTCTCCGAGCACTCATTCACATCTGCAGGGTTGAGACACAGTGCCTGGTCCACCGGTCACTGAGTAGATTCCAGGGCAACTTGTGAACTCCAAAGCTTGAGAATCCATGCAGAGCTGAGACAGAAGGAAGGGGTTCCTAGAACCCAGAAGAAAGCCTTACCTTTTCTGGAGCCATCTGGGCCTGGGACAGCCCCATGGCCAAAGGAACAGAGCTCCTGAAAAGTAACTGGAAAGAAAATGGTAAGTGGGATTAGAAGAGTGGGGGAGGGGGAGTCAGCAAACAGTCCCCAGTATCAAAGAAGGGTGAGGGAAGAATGGAGGAGGGAGAAAGCATAGTGGGAGGGAGAGAGGGTCAGGGGGGGAGCTCACCACTGTCCTTCTGAGGGCACAGTTCACAGGGCTCCCCCCAACCCTCTGCAGGGTTCTGGCTGCAGCAGCACTGGGTCTTCGTGGTGTTGAAAGCTTTGGGCATTGAACACTTTCCAGCCTCAAACCGGGTGAAGCAAAAACTCTGGCGAATGTCTGCAGAGAGGGAGGTGGGGGCAATAATAGTGGACGAGAGCAGCCAGGAGCTGCACCTGACTGGCTAACCTTCTTCATCCCAACCTTAGTGAATGGGCAACCCTGCTCCTACTAGCACCCAATGACAATACGCCACACACCTGGCTAGACCCAATGGCTTGGGAGTGAACCTGTGATGCACTCTGGGCCAATGAGAATGAGCTGGGAATTCTTCCCAGTGGTGTTTCAAGTCACTTCTTGTGTGTGTGTGCATGCGTCTTGCTGACAAACTTCCAACGTGGCCCTGTGTCAGGTAGAATAGGCAAACTCCACCCATTGCTTTGAATCAGAGTTCTCTTCTTAGAATGACAAAGATCATTTTCAGAGGGTTGGAAGACCTGGTAGGGCAGCCCCTCAGCCTCCAACCCGTCAGCCTGAGTTCTTACTGGCAGGCTGGGGTATGACTTACCAGTGGGCCCTATGTTCCCTTCATGGTTGATACTGGCTAAGTTGAATTGTAGGCTCTGGAACAGGCATTTGCTTATATTTCTCGCAACACTCACCAAAACAATAGTGTCCACTGTCACAGAGGACAAAGCCAGAAGGGCAGAGACACTGGAAGGTCCCAGGACTGTTGGCACAAGTGCCAAGAGAGCAGAAGGCGGGGGTAACTGTATTTCCAGCAAAGCAGGGAGAGTTTAGCTCTCCAACGTGCACCTAAGCATGGACGCAGGATGGGGGCTGGTGGTTGCAGAGGGAGTCACAACTAGGTGGGCAGTGTGTATGTGGAGGTCTTTCTCAGGTATGTTCACAGTAGGGGTCATGTTCAGGAGTTCGCCTTTTAAACTTATTTCTGTGTTTTTAAAGTATGCCTGTTTGTGTGTGTGTCTGTGCACATGTGTGTGTGGGAATGTACGTGTGAGTGCAGGTGCTTGTGGAGGCCCTAGGTCCTGAATCTCTCTAGAGCTGCCGGTTGTCAGCTGCCTGATGGAGGTGCTAGTCCTCTGTAAGGGCAGTAGGCTCTCTGCTGAGCCACCCCTCTCCAGACTCAGAGGTTCATCTAAAAAATGCTGGGCATGGTGGTGCACACCTTTAATCTTAGCACTCAGAAAGCAGAGGCAGGCAGATGTCTGTAAGTTGCAGACTAGCCTGGTCGACAAAGAGAGTTCCAGGAGAGCCAGGGCAACATAGTGAGACCTTGCCTCAAAAACTTGTACTTTTATACTTGTATTTATTTTGTGTGTACACGTGTGGAGGTCAGAGGACAACCTATAGGAATCAGTTTTCTCTTCCACTGGGTGAATTCCAAAGACAGAACTCAAGCTTGGAAGCTAGTGCCTTTACCTGCCGAGTTATGTCATCATTAGAGACTGAAAACTGGGCAAAGTTAATCGAGACTAAAGATATTCTGCCTGTACTAATTGGAGTTAGCTCATGTACCAGGCTAGACTAGATAGAATAAATTAGAAAAGACCAGGCTGGACTGGTCTAAATGAGTTCATTCTTTACACAACAGTGCATTTGCTGAAGCCAGAATGGCTTGTTAGCCCAGGTTATACAAGGCTAGCCCAAGTGGAAAATAGATGTTGGCAGGTCAAACTGGCCCAGATTGTAAAAGGTTAGTACAAATGGAAGACTGGATTATCAGCAGTTGGGCCAGACTGGTTCAGATCATGGTCAAACTGACATACTTGCCCCATCAAGGTGGGCTCATCAGTATCTGCAGAGGGAGATGGGAAGGTAGGGTCACCATGGACCCCAAGGTTATTGAGCTTTCCTTATATTTCTGCCCATAGGCTAATCCACCTGCTCAGACATTCTAGTCCAGGTTAGCATATATTATATGAGACCAACCTGGTGAATTAGATAGCTAAGATCAAGTTGGACTAATTAGTCTAAAGTATATGTAATGATTCTTGTGGACGAGAATTCTATGGAGTTTCTGAAGTACAGTGATACTGAAACAAAGTATATTTTACAGTTATCACAAAGAATTCTCTGAGCCCTGAGAGAAAGGCCTGAACCAGGAGCCCCAGAGCAGTTCTGATAATAATGGAGCTGCGCTTGGTCCTGTGCTGTGCGCACCTGCACTCTGGTAGAAGGTTGGACACTCACCAATACAATGGCCACTCTGCACCTGGAAGCCAGGGGGGCAGATGCACTGGAAGGAGCCTTCCAAGTTCTGACAGGTGCCTGGCAGACAGGTCCCTGGTAGGCTCAGGCACTCATCAATATCTTTGGAGGAGAAAAGAAGAGGAATTCAATGCCAGAGAGGAGGTGGAGTGTTCCCTGAGGTCTTTGGCCAACAACTGCAGGTGATTTTGGGAGGGGGAAGGGGACAAACCTTTTCAGGGGCAGTTTTGGGCCTAAGGGAAAAGCTGAGACTCTGGAACACAGGGGTAGCAAAGGAAGGAAGGATTGTTTGTTCTTGCTGGGTTTATGAACCTGGAGGGAAGCAGGGAGCAAGATTTACAAGCCGCTTGCAGGTTCCCTCCAAGATTTCTATGCATCCATTCGGTATATCTGCTATTTGTTGTTTCATAAATTTCCAGATTTTAAGACGGCCTTGCCCTGAACTATAGTCAACTTTTTTTTTTAAATACCTTTGCAATAAATAAGATGGATGAGTAAGGAGATCATGAAGTCTCACCCCCACTTGAAGAGCTGTTGGCAACGGCTGGCTGCAGCAGGAAGGTGTCAGTTTTCACCCAGGATATGGCCCCTGATAGGTTGCCTGTATTCTAGTAGATGACCCCACACCCACCACATATGGGCAACAGTAAGTGCACCCGCACCCAGTGTGCCTAACAAAGAGCACATGGAGATGGGAGGGAAAATGGTGGTGGGATATGGGAGGAGGAGCAGGGCAGGGAACTGGGAGTGGATTTGATCAAAAACACATATGCATGTATGAAATTCTCAATTTAAACTGGCAAACTGAATCCAAGAACACATCAGAAATATCATCCACCATAATCAAGTCGACTTCATCCCAGAGATGCAGGGATGGTTCAATATATGAAAATCTGTCAATGTAATCCACCATATAAACAAACTAAAAAAAAAAGAAAGACCACACGATCATCTCATTAGATGCTGAAAAAGTCTTCGACAAAATACAATATCCCTTCATGATAAAGGTCTTGGAGAGAGCAGGAATACAAGGAACATACCTAAACATAATAAAGGCAATATACAGCAAGCCAACAACCAACATCAAACTAAATGGAGAGAAACTCAATGTGATCCGATTGAAATCAGGAACAAGACAAGGTTGTCCACTCTCTCCATACCTATTCAATATAGTTTTTGAGGTCCTACCTAGAGCAATAAGACACTAAAGGGAGACCAAGGGGATACAAATTGGAAAAGAAGGCAAACTCTCACTATTTGCTGATGATATGATAGTTTATAGAAGTGAACCCAAAAATTCTACCAAAGAACTTCTACAACTCATAAACATCTTCAGTAATGTAGCAGTATACAAGATTAACTCAAAAAAAAATCAGTAGCCCTCCTTTACACAGATGATAAATGGCCTGAGAAAGAAATCAGAGAAACATCACCCTTCACAAAAGCCACTAAGAGCATAAAATATCTTAGACTAACTCTAATCAAACAAATGGAAGACCTGCATGACAAGAACTTTAAATCTTTGAAGAAAGAAATGAAAGAAGACACCAGAAAGTGGAAAGATCTCCCATGCTCTTGGGTAAGTAGTATTAACATAGCAAAAATGGCAATCTTACCAAAAGCAATCTACAGATTCAATGCAATGCCCATCAAAACCCCAGCAAAATTCTTCACAGACCTTGAAAGAACAATACTCAACTTCATATGGAAATGCAAAAATCCAAGGAAGTCTTACATGTAAAATGAATCAAGCAGAAGACAGAATATCAGGTCTCAAAGATAAAATAAAGGATCTCTACCACTGCCTGGATATGAGCAAAGGACTTGACACCCTACTTCACAGATACTTGTTCAGTCGTGTTCACTGTGGCTCTATGCACAACTAACTAGGAAACGGAAACAACCTAAATGTCCTACTGGCAAGTGGATAATGAAAATATGGTACATATACACAATGGAATACTATTCATGTAAAGAAAAGTGGAATTGTGAACTCTGCAGGTAAATGAGTGAAACTAGAAAAGATCATATTGAGTGAGTAGCCCAGACCCAGAAGGACAGACATTGCACGTTCTCTCTCATTGGAGACCCAGACCCAGAAGGGCAGACATTGCACGTTCTCTCTCATTGGAGAACCAGACCCAGAAGGACAGACATTGCACGTTCTCTCTCATTGGAGACTCCTAGCTCCAAATCTTCAGATATGTGAACATGTCCTGGAGTAACTGAAGAAAGCAAGAAAGGAAAAAAGGACCAATGCTGGTGTGGGAGAGCAACTGATCAGAGGAATAGTTGGGTACAAGTGATCTGGTCAGGGAAATGGGGAAAAGGGGAAGGGAGTGAGATAAACACAGGAGAAGGGAGGAGGGCAAAATAACAGTAAGGATATCTAAAAAAAAATCATAAGAAATCCTACTATTAACCACTTACCTGAAAACAACTATAATACCTGTAAGTCTGGTTATAGAAATACTTACATAGTTTAAATAAGTGCTCGCTTGGGTAGCACATGTACTAAAATTGGAACAATACAGAGAAGATTAGCATGCCCCCTGTGCAAGGACGACATGTAAACGTGTGAAGCATTCCATAGTTTTGTATAAAAAAGTTTAAATAAATAAAATTGAAAACTATCCCTCTAAGATCCCAAAATCAACTAACAAAAATTCCAGTACCAGACACAAGAAAGTCATCTTTAGAGCTGTTGCGAGGACTGTCCAAGAGACTCACAAAACATTTTAGGCCATTGCTGTTTTCCCCAGAGGCAGAAGATAAGTCCCTATTGCTAGAGACACATCATGCATTCAGATACAGGGACCAGATGACCCTGAGCTGGAAGTGACTTGAATGGCCCCTCTGAGGGCTAGCTTTCATGGGCTCAGAAGGTGCCATGCAAGCTTCCAAAGGAGGAAGTAACCAACAGTCCTACCCAGCTATGACTTGCATAATCTACAACAGTGACCAGCTTGTCATGATAACCGTAGGGGTGGTAATGGCACACATAACTTGGTGGTCACCAACGGCTCTCTAATTGGACCTATGACTCATTCAACAAGAGGGAGACCATGCCTGGGACTAGAAACCTAGCCAATAATTCGGTTTTAGTGAAGTCATGAATCTCAGAAGGAGAACCTGCAACCACCACTTTACTAAACCAGCATAACTCCCAATTACACTCTAAATATTTGTCTTTATACTCACATGTAAGTGTAATCCTCACCCTTCATCAAGGAAGCTTCCCAGTGCAAGAGACAGAGACCACTCCAGAAAACTACAACCAACCTAAATGCAGAGCTGTGGAGCCCAATCAGAATGGATACATCTACTCTAGAACTCAGGGAACAGTGCAGAAGAGGAGGCGCAAAGATTGTGAGAACCAGAGGATTAAGGGATCAAGGAATTTGCTGTGATATTGTATTTCCTAGTAATGTCTGAAGCTACACCCATAAGTCTCATCAATAAGACTGCCTAAAATAAGCTGAACAGAGACAAAGAACAACAGATAAGGCAAAGTGGACAGGGTAAAGCCCAGGATACCTCAACCCTAAACAAAGAACTACAGGCAACTGATAAATTCTGAGAGTGGGAGAAATAGTCCTCCCTGTGGAGGAACACTAGCTGGTTATTCAATACCAAACGGTCATCCCTGAAAATATACATAAAAGTAACATTATTCAGTCTGATAAGGTTATATTTAGGAATATATATGAATAGATATAAACACATATGCAACTATTAACGAAAGAAGAGGCCATGAGTTTGAGAGAGAGCAAGGAGGGGTACACGGGAGGACTTGGGGGCAGGAGAGGGAAGGTAGAAATAATGTAATTATATAATAATCTCGGAAGGAAAAGAAAAAATTCTTTAAAAGTATATGTTAAGTCAGGCAGTGGAGGCACACACCTTTTATCCCAGCACTCACGAGGCAGGGCAGATGGATCTCTCTGAGTTTGAGGCCAGCCTGGTCTAAGGAATGAGATGAGGATAGTCAGTCCAGTTATACGGAGAAACTCTGTCTTGAAAAACCAAAACCAAAACCAAAACAACAACAAAAACAAAACCATCAAACCCCAAATAAAAAAAAATGCATCTTAAAAATAAAATAATTTAAATTTTATTTATATGTTTATTTTGTGTGTATGCCTTCATATGTCTTTATACCATGTGTATTCCTGGTTCCTATGGAGGCGGGAAATGGGTGTCAGATCTTCTGGAACTAGTTGTGAGTCTACATGTGGATGCTGGGAATTGAACCCGAGTCCTTTAGAGGAGCAGTCAGTGCTCCATGCCTCCAGCCTTCTATTTCTATTTCTAACCATTTGTCCCTGGTCTAGTTCTTTGCCATGAGACACAGGAACCTGGATGCTACAGCAGATTCCCCTGAGACATGATGGAAGTTGCTCTGAGACTCAGACCTGTTGTCTGTAGTGATTGGGTGACTTCCCCCCTACCTATTCTTTTTTAAATTAAGTTTTATCTATTTATTTTATGTGTGTGTGTGTGTGTGTGTGTGTGTGTGTGTGTTATGAATCATGTGTAGAGGTCAGAGTGAATCAATCACTGTGGACTGAACTCAGGCTACTAGGTTTGGTGGAAACCGTCTTTACTTACTGAGTTCTGTGTCCCAGTCATAGGGCCACTTATCCGCCAACCCAGGCAGCTCACCTGCACAGTTACTGTTGTGGGTTGCCACAGAGCCAGGGAAGCACAGGTACTTGTAGGAGCCAACATTATTCCTACAGGTCTCATTTCCACATGGCTTCTGGTCACACTCATCAAGGTCTATCAGAGCAAACCCCACAAATCCAGAAGACTCACCCTAGGGCATTAATTAACCTGATGGGTGAACTGGCTGGAGCTAGCCTTCCTCACCTGCCTCTAACCCTGCCCAGAAGCTGGCAAGTGACCCTTGAGGAGATGGCTGGGAGGAATACCCGTATTAGTATCAACGATGTTCATTTGACATATAGGAAAAGTCATGTAGAGGACAGTGCAATTCCAGACTCTCGAGACCTCCGAGTCTGGGTTTAAATTTTGGAGGGGGTGTGACTTAGGGTAGATAAAAGGGACAACCCCCCAGGAGAAATGAAGACCCTACACAGAGTCTAATCAGAGATGCTCGCACCTAGGCTCCTGTCAGCTGAGGCTTGGAAGTCATGGTGACAGAGACACATGTAACTGTCCTCAGTGTCCACATGGTCACCATGGCTACAGACATTTGGGATGTCCCAACACTCATTTCATCCTGTGAGGTGCAGGCAATATGATATCTCTGAGAACCCCAGCTGATAATATTTTGCTGATCTCTCCATATACAACACATGTATGTAGCAGGGAGCAAGGCTGTTTGGAGCCCCCATTCAAGCTTCCACCAGGATCTTGTGCTGCTGACATCAGGCCTAGCTGTCACCAGTCATATTTTATTTTACTCTGTGCTACTTATGGTTGCTCACTGAGCTTGTCTCCCATTCCCCAACAGTGACAGCCACATTCTACCTGAGTCACAGCAGGTGACAAAACTTGGCTTGCTTACCTCCCTTCCTTTGGCTTTGCTTAAGTCTAACCTGTCAGCTCCCTGGAGACCCCACTTACACAGATCCCACTGGGCGAGAGCTTGGATCCCCAGCACACTTGCATTGATAACTCCAAGGGACATCGATGCAGTCTGCGTTTCTCTGGCACAGTCCCTTTCCGTTGGCACACTCATCCACACCTGGGGAGTCCCAGGAAGGGGATAGGGGTGAAATAAAAGCCTCTCCCGACAGAACCCCCAACCTGAATTTTGGCTCTGGAAGCAACTAGGACGGGAGTAAGGGTGATTATACGGGACGACAGAGACCCAAGGAAAGGTGTCAGTTCTGTCATACAGATGGACTAACTGGGCTCGCTTAGACTGGAGATCTATATCTCTATCTCTCTATCTATCTATCTATCTATCTATCTATCTATCTATCTATCTATCTATCTATCTATCTAT